CGGGACCGGCAACGGGATCGCAACCCTCGGTGTTGCTCCCGCACCTCGCTCAGCCAGTGAGCGGCCGGTCTGTATGTGGGATCCGAACCCTCGGCGGGAGCGCCGCCGCACTCCCAAGCGGCGCACTGTAGCAGTGCGCCACCGGGCCGGCCCCTGGACCAGAGCACTTGTACAGAAGCAAAGCTTGCAGCTGCCATATACCCTCTAGGCCCCTATCCTTCCCCCTGTCCCAAGAAAAGCCTTGCAAGGCCTTGGAAAATGCTATTTGGTTGGAAATGGTAGTTATTCCAACTGCTGGCTCTACTTTCTGAGGCTGTGTTTGGCCTTCGTCAGTAATAACCACCACCATCCCATCAAAAGGGGAAGGGGCAACTATCTGGATGGTCAGTGTAGAATCCTGTCTCCTATAGAAAGAGAAATCCAAGGACTTCAAAAACCATGTGATCAAGTACCTTGAGACACTCCTGTATTCACAGCAGCAGGTATGTAAGCTATGCATGACCTTCATTCTCTACTGTCTGCTCCAAAGGCCAGCTGCCTACTTGAGGCTTTGGTGACAAGATGGGCAAGCCCTGCTTCTGAGGGGTTGGGCCCTGCTATAGCTGATAATTAAAAATGGCTCCAACAGGGTCTTTTTCTTTTTTCTTTTTTTTTTTTTAAAAGATGACCGGTAAGGGGATCTCAACCCTTGGCTTGGTGTTGTCAACACCACGCTCAGCCAGTGAGCAAACCGGCCATCCCTATATAGGATCCGAACCCGTGGCCTTGGTGTTATCAGCACCACACTCTACCGAGTGAGCCACGGGCCGGCCTAACAACAGGGTCTTTTTCTTTTTTCTTTTTTTTTTTTTAAAAGATGACCGGTAAGGGGATCTCAACCCTTGGCTTGGTGTTGTCAACACCACGCTCAGCCAGTGAGCAAACCGGCCATCCCTATATAGGATCCGAACCCGTGGCCTTGGTGTTATCAGCACCACACTCTACCGAGTGAGCCACGGGCCGGCCTAACAACAGGGTCTTTTTCTAAGCTCTGCTGCCCTAATTCTGTGGTTACTTTTTTAGGACAAACCCCATCACTCCTCTCCCTATAACTCCTCATCCTTTGAGTGGCAGGGTCTTTTTCTAAGCAGGCGGACCCAGCTCTGCTGCCCTAATTCTGCGGTTACTTTTTTAGGACAAACCCCATCACTCCTCTCCCTATAACTCCTCATCCTTTGAGTGGCCACCCCATGGTAGCATCTAACCCTCTTGAGGCTGAGGCCCCAATTAGTATGTGGAACAATGGTCATTGTGAGGAGCTAACTGAGCTGGGCAAAGCTGTGGCATCCACAGGGGTGCTCCTTGTGGGGGGAAGTAAGACTGTCTTCAGAGACTGCCCTTGCACTTGGGCCTCAGGAACTGATGATTTCCCAAGTGTAGAGGGAGGTGAGGGCAATGTGGCCGGCGTCTGCATCTGCTTGGCATGCCTTCCTTTGGGTGGCTGAGGCACTTGGGGAGTGTTATGGTATTGTGCTTGCTCCCTTCCCAGGCTGGCTCAGGCTTTGCCACTAGATAGGAGTGCGTGCTTACTGTCCCCCACTTCTTTGTAGCTGGCGAAGTACTGGGAAGCCTTCCTTCCTGAGGCAAAGGCCATCTCCTAATGGACCAAGGACACCAGATCCCACTTGCGTGAAGCTGCCTTTTTATACACTGTCCTCCATTTTGATGGACCCCAGTGATGTATCCTGCCTAGGCTGGACTTAACCCCTTCCCACCCCCATGACCAGGCTGTCCCCAGTTAGTCTAACCATTATTTCATTTAGCTCCCATTTATATTTTCTTACCTGAGAGAATAGTTTCTTGCTTTAAGCAAAAGACCTACAATAGGTGGTGGAATTATGGGATGGGGTGGAGTATTGATATAAATATATAAATATAAATGTATATTTTTCAGGATGAGGTTTAGGAACTGGGAATAACGTTTTCTGTTACTCCTGATGGTGCCATGAAAAGATTATGTAATAAAATATTTTAAAATCAGGTCACATGACTCAGAATGGTTGTGCTTCTTGCTTTAGCTGGGGAACAGTTGGGAAGCAGGTCTGGAATACTTCTAACCAAGAACTGGCTCAGGTATAGTAAGTTTCTCTCTACAGGAGTTCACAAGTTTTTGCTGCTGCTTCCCTATGGAACTGGGTTTCCTTTTCTCTATCTACCTCAGCTACCTGTTCTTAGGGTCTCTTATTACTCTATTTCTTATCCCTGCTTCTTTAGGGAAGGAGTTTTAAAGACATCTCTTACAGTAAGAGGGGTAAAACCTTTTCTCCTGCAAAGGAGGCAGATTTTCTCTTTTATTCCTACCCTCTTCCCCTAAGCTGCCCAGGGCTCTTAGTCTTACCTACTGATGGCAAGTCTGTGTTCTGAAACTCTTTTGCCATCTATCAAAACACATCCTCAGTAGACGTTCATGTTAAGGTGTAAAGGAGTAATAAAGACTGATGCTTTATCCTCATAGACATGACAGCCAGGCACTCTGTCTCTAGATAGGATAATCCAAGAGCTCCTAAACCTTTTGAGGTTCACAGAAGCTTTACTGCCTGTGCCCAGGAGGGAGCATGCCAGCAAGAGCCCCCTCAAGTGTTGTAAGCACAAGCCAAAGGTGTTCAAACAGGTCTCTGCTGGTCTGGCCAAGGGAGGCGTGAGATTCAGATCAGTCATTGCTGGGCTTCCCAGCTATGTCCACAGCAGCTTAGCACTAGTCAGAGCTGATTTTGAAGCTCCTCAGTGAGTCAGAGCTAGCCAACTGCCTACCAGGGGAATGTTGCCACCCCCAGGCCGATCACTCCCAAAGACGCCACTGCTGCAGGGACTCCAGGACCTGCTCTATTGGTTGTCTTAGGTGGGTGGCTAAGGTTTGGGAGGGGCAGTCTGATGAAAGAGAATGCAGTAAACAGTACTGATTTGTAGTACAAGGACCCCTGGCACCAGGGGAAGTGCCAATGCTACAAGTATTTTTTTCAACAGGTTAATTTTGGGGGAAAAGTCACTCAGTATCTCCCTACCCCCCACTATTCTTATTATTGCCTTTGATTTTTATCCTCCCAGTTTTTATTTTTATTTGCTTGCTTTTACATCGTTGTAATAATATATACACAAAATATTTTGTATCCTGCTTTTATCATTCAACATTGTGTATGTTACGAGCATTTTTTCTATTTTGTTATATATCTTCACAAACTATTTGTAAGGCTATATAATTTTAAAGCTTCTAAAGAGTGACTGTACCATAATTTTGATTCATCCCTTGTTGTTGGAATCTTGGTTTTTGTTTTTGGGGGTTTTTTAAATTAAGTTTTAATATAATTTCAAACTTATGGAAAATTTGCAAGAATATCACAAAGAACTCCTATATACCCAAATTTAACAGCTGTTTACATGTTATCCCATTTGCTTTGTGATTTGCTTTATCTATACTTACCTGTATTTTCTGAATCAGCTAAGAATAAGTTGCAGTTTATCCCATGACCCCAAAACCTCTGTATTTCCTTAAGAATAAGGATGTTCTCTTATAGTTTAACTGCAGTTATCAAAATCAGGAAGTTTAATACTGATATTATACTGTTATCTAACCCATGGCCCATATTTTATTTTTATTTTGTTTTGTTTTTGGCAGCTGGCTGGCAGCTGGGATCAAACCCTGGATCTTGGTATTATTAGCACCACATTCTAACCAACTGACCTAACTGACCAGCCCCCAAGACCCATATTTAAATCTTAACAGTTGTCCTGATAATGTCCTTTGTAGCAATTCTCTTTTTCTTTGCTCAGGATCATATGTCACATTTAGTTGTAACACATGATTACATTTCTCTGTCTCTCAGTGCAGAAGAGCTCCTTAGCTTTTCTTTGTCTTTCATTACCGTGACATTATTGAAGAATAAAGGCCACTTATTTCGTAGCATCTTCCTCAGTTTGGATTTGACTGATGGTTCCACATGACTAGATTATGGTTTTGTGTTCTGGGCAGAAACCTCACAGAAGTGATGTGTCCTCGGTGCATTTGAAGTCAGCACATGATGTCGGTTGGTCCCATTAATGTTGATGTTGACCCTAATCACTTGGTTGACTTGATGTCTGTCAGTTTCTCCATTTTAAATGTACTATTTTCTCCTTTGTAATTAACAAGTGATTTGGGGGAGATACATTGGAGATCATGTAAATATTTTGTTCCTCATCCACTAGTTACAGTAATCAGTCTTGCCTAAATCACTTATTATTACTATGATGATTGACCAGTGTGATTTTCTTTCTTTTTTTAAAGATGACCAGTAAGGGGATCTTAACCCTTGACTTGGTGTTGTCAGCACCACGCTCTCGAAGTGAGCTAACCAGCCATCCCTATATAGGATCCGAACCTGTGGCCTTGGTGTTACCAGCACCACACTCTCCTGAGTGAGCCACGGCCAGCCCGACCGGTGTGATTTTCTAACTCCCTAATGCCTTCTGCATTTATTGGTTGGCATTCTACTTCTAAAGAAAAGCCTCCTTTCTCCCCACTTATTTACCTACTTGTTTGTCAATATAGATGCACAGTTTCCTATTTTACTCAAAGTTGCAAGCCATTACTTTTATTTTTATTTTTTTTCTCAAACTCCCAGATTTATAGCAGGCTCCTATGTCTTTTTAACTTGTCTCACCATTTTTTGAGCACTTCATTACTCTCTGACATAGTAAGGTGTTCCAGGTTCATCTCGTATCTTCCCTGCCCTAGCCTTGGAATCAGCCATTTCTCCAAGGAGTCTTGATTCCTTTTAATGGAGAATGGTATTTAGAAACCAAGATCTGGGTGCTGAGTGTGCTCATTGCTACTGAAGTGTCATTGCTTCTAGGCTGTCAGCAGACAGAACAAAGAAATATATAAAGATATTCAGCAATATCAAGAGAAGTAGAGATAGATGACATAAATAGATTTTAAAGATCATGACTACTGAAGTGTCATTGCTTCTAGGCTGTCAGCAGACAGAACAAAGAAATATATAAGGATATTCAGCAATATCAAGAGAAGTAGAGATAGATGACATAAATAGATTTTAAAGATCATGAAATCACACCCATACTTGGAGTGCAGCCCCATAGGTTTATTCTAGTCTGCCTCTTTTTCCATGTTTGCAACTCTGTTCCCCAGAGAGGCGTAATTTAAAAAATTTCTCCTTGGTTTGTTAAGTTCCATCCAGTGATCATCTTGATGTAAGTCTGCTTTTATTATTTCCTTGGGATGGACTCTCCTTTCGTTTCAGAACTTCCTCCTCAGCCTCCTTCATCCTGAGGCTGACAGGGCCAATTGTCTCCAGAGTTTGTTTGTTTCTGTGCAGAGCTTGCAGACATGAAAACCAGGAAGTCCAAGGGCTGACTGGTTAGCTCAGTTGGTTAGAGCATGGTGCTGGTAACACCAAGGTCCAGAGTTTGATCTGTATACCAGCCAGCCACAAAAAAAAAAATTTTTTTTTTTTCTAAATCAAGAAAGCCGGTAGCAGGTTAGGGGTATTGAGCCAGAAGCCTCTACAGGGAATAAGAGGGGCACAAAACAAGAAGGTGTCATTCCACCTGGGGACTCAGGAGGGAGAAATTTGTAGAGAATGTGATGCATGAACTGTGTCTTAAAGGTGAAGAGGTGTTTGCCCCTTCTGCTGGGACCATTCTGCCTCCCTTGTCTGTCTGGCAGTGTGAGGTAGGCACGTCTAGGGAAATGTAGTTGGCTTGGTGTAGCTAGAGTCAGGCCAGTGAGGCTGCCCATGGAGAGTAATGAGCAGGAGCTGGGTCACACAGTGCCTGATGTGACTCATGAGGCCCTTTGAACATTACCCTGTAAGTGTGGGAAGGGACTTGAGTGGGAAATAACATTGTCACTTCATGATTTAGACATATCAGAAGGTGTGAGACTGGAGGCAGGAAGAGCAGCCAGGCTCATCACCATCATCAGGAGAACTGAGCAATAATGGTGCTCGAGCTCAGAAGAGAGGTTCAGGAAGTGGAGATGGAACCACTAGGATCTGGTCACTGACCTGAGGCCTAAGGGAGAGAGAGAGGTAGCTAGCATGCCCACAGGCTTCTGGCTTGGATGTTGGGGTAGACAGTGAAGCTCTTCACGACACAGGTAACACAGGAGGCAAATAGGTTTGGAAGAGATGGGAGGGGAAATGGTGGGGACAGTGAGTGCTGATGGTGTTTAAGAGGCTCTTTTGGTTAGGAAAGGAGGCCAGTGTTTGGAGGTGGGGGAGATACACAGTAAAAGAAGGCTTTGTTTTATTTAAACATGGGGCAGGCTTCAGGATGTTATTAAATTCAGAAAAGAGCAAGGGAATAACCATCAGAGCCATGTCTGGAAGAAAATGCAGTCAAGAGCACAGGAGGGGAAGTTGCTGTGCTCTGAGGGAGCCGCACTGCTGAGGCTGCGGGAAAGAAATCTTTAGGTGGAGGGGAGACAAAAGAGGGAAGTTTTCATGCTTGGTAATTAAAATTTTCTCAGATTGGGATATCTTATTTACCTATTTGAGCCAAGTGGTTTAGACAAAAGGTATGGAGATAAAGTCTACACTTCCCCTGCTTGCCCCTTGGGTTATTTCCCCAAGAATTTCTGGGCTCCATAGTCTTGAAGATGAGGATTTAGAGCTGGAGAGATCCCAATATTCAATATAAGTATTCAGTGACAGAATAAATGAGAGAACTATACTAGTAACTTAGAACTCTTCCCCAAAGATTTTCATTCTGAATGTACCTGTAGCTGGGAGCCCTAAAAAAAATAAAGAATGCCTGTGCAGAAACTCAGATTTTAAAAAGGAAGAGGAACTGATGGAAATCTCTCAGGGTGGCGCCAAAACTTGGTTGAGGAGAACATGATGACCAAAGGAGTATCTTTGCTGAGTGTGCTTAGGGCCCACATGAGGTTGAAGCCCATGGATTTTGAGAGACATAAAGCCCCAAGATGGTGGGATTTTCCCCACCAGTACTTTGCAGCCTAGGGGAAGGGGAAGAAAGGAGAA